AGGGAAAGAAAATAATATTAATTACCTGATGACGTGTGTAATGCCTGTATGTTGAGCAAAAATAGGCATTTGTAATCACTTTTCTGTCCAATTGAGGGAACCTTTTTATTTGGAGGAGGAGGTAGTTTGGGTGAGAAAACACAGCTTGTACTTTTACTAATCCTAAAAATAAATACTATATCCACTGCACTTAATACCCTCATAGAAATTACATGACTGAAACTAAACAGACATCATATGATAGACTAATTACACACAGACAGTCAAGACAAATAGTTACCAGTCAGAAAATATTTTATGAAACAGTCCATCTATGGCCTTTCAAGTCTGACTTTTCAAAGGACACCTATAAAATACCTTCAACAGACAAACCTAGTGACAAAAATTCACCACACCACTAGATACAAGAAACTAAGAGCTCAACAGAAACGTAGATTCTTTGGCCAATTACATTCTTCCTGTAGACCACACCACTCAGTAACTTCCCTCCTTTTTTTTTTCCAACAGGGTAATGTTCTGACACTTCTGTCCTTGCTAACACCTCTGGGATAAAGAGTGATGTTAAACTACTTTGAGAAAAAGGGTCCCTAAGTGACAAACAAGATCAAAACAGCAGTGTCCAGCCTATACATAACTGTGATTTTTAGGATTCTTCAGTCCTTGCAAAAAGTGTTGTAGACAGAGGGTGAAGTTTCAAGAAACTAACTTTTGAGTAATAATGGTTTCAGGTGTTTCTTTTATGGTTATTCACACCCCTGTGCTATAGCCTGCCACTCCTGTGGCGTGACAGGCCCATTGTCTCTGCGGCTGAGATGTCTCAACCAAGGGAATGACGAGAGTTTGAAAAACAAACTTATAAACCCAAACATTTTTTACAGTACTTTTGTGTGCTTGCTTGTCAAGCTGTATCTGTAGCTTCTGCTGAGAGTTCACAGCACAGAGAATTGTGCATATTGTGCCAACATAACCATGGCAACAGTGCTCTGTGTGGCAGGGACTGTGGAATATCACAAACCAAGACTGCAATCAAGGGCTGCTTTTGAAACAACAACATGAAGGGTAGCTACTTTTTTTGACTATATCATCTAGTCTAAGAATTGTAATCTCTCCATGCTTTCCAAGTTCATGAAGTATACCTGCCTTGCTAGGTCAACACATATCAATCTAATTATATTGCTTATTAGTCATTAATAGGCTATTGTATGGAAATTGTATGATTAAGAATTAAGAAAATTTCAGGAACAGTAATTAAGTTTATTTACAATAGTTAAGGAAGAAGCACGAGCATTATGATGATTCTTTCACTCCTTATTGATATTAACTCCAAATATAACAAACCCCTGTGAAATTATAAAAGAGAGAAGGAAAAGGTGGAAAAATCCTCATGTTTGAAAAAGAACTGAACTAGAACGATATTATTTTTTTTAAAGCTAAGAAAGTTTCCAGATGTTAAAAGCTTAAATGTTATGGATAAAGTTACAGGGAACCAATGTATATAAGGCAGAAAAAATAAAATGGAAATGAATTTTTCTTATCCCATACCTGATAGCAGCAATTCCATATTGCTGTTTGTAAGTGTTGCATTTACTCTTCCTGAAGTTGCATTGAAACTGGTGACTGTCAAAGTCATGGGCTGTTTCTTGCTTTTGTAATTGTAAGATCCTTTCCATATATAATTTTGGGCAAATACATCATCAGGAACTATAGAGACATCAAACATGTTTCAATACGTTTTGCAATGCTTAATATTTATGAAGTCAAGCCTCCAACAAAATACATGAGAAACATTAACATTTTCTCTGCTTTACCCTCTCTATTTATGAGTCTGTTAGGCATAATCTTCACATATAAAGCATAGAAACCTGGAATGAACATTTATGAAAGAAATATATTTGTCTGAAGAACAGAACCACAACTGTACCTTCATTTGCTCCTTTCCTCAAACACGGACATGTCCTAAAATTAAACCAACTCCACAAAATCTAATTTAACAGCTGTAACAAAAAGACCAGATTTCTCTCACTGCAGAATCTTTTCTATGAAGCACAGATAAGCAGGAACATACAGCTAGGATTAAATTTTGCAGAACTTACTATTGATTTAGATATCAAGATTTTTATAAGCATATTGAAATTATATTAAAATATTATAAGCATTTCTTTATTACCTAGTAATTTTTTTCTGATGAAAAATGTATAAAGGAAGTTTTGTCTTGTCTTCAAATGCTTAAAAACATCATGAGCTTCACCAGGAAGAAAAAAACATCTCCTAATTTAAAATTAAAAAGGGATCATAGACTGCAGGGAGAATGAATATGCTAGATCTATATCTTTGTACTTAGTATTTATCATTATGCAACCGTAAAATGATTAATTTAAGTAATGCTATTCCAGCAATAGTATGGTTAAAAACCAGTAATGTTACCTATCTAACAAAAACAGGTACAGGTAAGTCTTTAAAATCTTAACATGAGATGCTATTTAAACAAATAAATTTAAGGTGACTTAGGATGGGTTTACTACACTTTCCAAAGGAAATGTATCCAACTTGGCCCTGTAACAAATAATTACTATTCAAGATCAGCACTTTCACATTATTTGGAGTCACTCACACTGAACTTAAAGCCTTGGGTTTGTGTGTGCACTGGCATCTAATTCCAGATAAATACAGTAGAATACTTGCCCCTTTCTATTTCAAGATATCCCAAAATTCAAGACTGGGGTACACTGGAATACCTGACAGTCTTCCTTCATCATTTATTGTATGGGTCACAGAGACAGGCTGTCTTCCCCATGGAGGGTAAAAGACCATTCCTAGGTTTTTTATTTGTGTATGTGTATGTATGTATGCATATATTTTTTGACAAGTAAACACATAGAAACAAAACACCTAGACACTGGGCTTGCAAACTGCAAGCAGGAAAACTGTATGGTGCAGACAGTCTGATGATGTTCATTTGTGATCTACCTGAAATTTATTTCCCTACTTTCAGGAGAACTGATCTTTACGTACTTTATTTGCAATTAATTAGGATTGTATAAAAAGCTTCTGAATGAAAAAAACTGATAATACTACTACCATGCATCATAGACAAACGCAGTTTTGTAATGTACAACCTGTTAAAAAACAAAAAAAAACCCACCAACAACAAAAAAGCCCTACAACCCCCCCAAAACCTCCTGACGCTAAGGAATTACTTTTAAATCTGTATTAATTTTTAGTACACATTTAACAGGGTTATAGTCAAAGGCTAATTTTAGTTAAGACGACTCCTCTCTTCAACAGACAGAGAAAGATTTCTTTTGGATCTAACCAGGACATCCAAAGATAGTCTTCTCTAGCAACTCAGGTAAAACTGGAATTGACTTTAACCAGAGTTAGCGATGACCTTCTCTAGGCTAAAACTGCTTTTTTGAAGGCTAAGTTGAAGGCTAATATAGAATTATTTAGGTAAAGCAATTTAAAAATTAACAATATGTAAAAGAAGTGCAAGACACTGAAAAAAATCTGTGAAACATGTCTTTAGATTATTTCTGGGTGAGTAATATAGTTCCTTAATAAGTAAATTGCATAAGATCTTACACAGAACACAGTGATTTCAGTGAAACCAGTAAAACTCTCATCACATAACAGTTACAAATTGTATGTGGATATAAATAATACCATATAGTCTAGACTTAAACACTGGAGAATAATTTAATTAATGATGGTTTTCTTCTATTAATGTAATGCCTAATCTAATACCCGTTATTCATTCTAAGCCATTTAGCGCAGTCTCATTAAATAGATTTTCTCTTCTACAGAAATTGTTTAAAACTATATATACCTCAAAGTACTTACCACTTAGTTTGGGACTTGGTGTTCCCAAAGCTGGTCTAGGATCCTTAACTAATATTTTGGAACCAGCTGTTAGAAAGAACGAACAACAAAAAGACAAATCAGTAGCAAATATGTTAATTGGAAGCTAAGAAAATAATGTTCATAATGGAATTTATTTGTTATAAAGGATGTAAGATGATGCTTCAAACTTAAACATGAACGAGATTTTCAAGCCTTAGAATCTCAGAGGCAAATGCTCGCTGATTTCTTCCATTGCCACATTTTCTCCTGTCAATCACCTGGATGTTACCAAGTCATTTGCAATACCCAAACAGTGTAGGTGTTCACTTCATAATCCACATTTCAGAATTCACAGTCCTGGACTATGCACCTAACATGTGAGATGTTTTCTAATATGTCATCTAAAGCAAGTTATGTCATTTAAGTTGGGATCCACACGAAACAGCACACAAAATGTGAATAATGCTTTGACTGGAAGCAATGTAGCACCAAACAGTGAAGAGACACAGAACAAGAGCTTTTTAAATCACGTTTCTTTCCAGGACTTAATTAGCTTCAACAATACTGAGTGAGACATCTTGTGTTCAAGACTGAAAACCCAAAGATGCATGATTAATGTCTTATACAATGGAGAAGGTCACTGTTTATTTAATGAATAGTAACAGAAATAAAGAAACAAATGAGACTGTCCACAGTATCTCCAACTGCTCAGGTGATTTGAGCACTGGAAGTTGGAGAACTACATTTCTTCTCTGTTAGAGCAGGAACTCTCCCACCACTGAAGATAACGAACTATATGCAATGGGACGGTGTCATTTCCTGCAGCTGAAGCTATTTTATCTTGCGAAACTCATTTGTATTCACTGGGCTATAGAGAAAACACATAATTCTGCCTCCTAATGTAGTACTAGGCTCTATTCCTTGCTCCGATGTTTATTTCAATATTTTGCATTTTGGATCTTGGCTTTGGTTCCAAGCCTTTTCTTTCTGATCAATACTCCAAAAAAAAAAAAAAAAAAAAAAAAAGTCTTTCTCTCGGCAACATCTTTCTCCCTGATTGGAGTATTTTCTGCGTAAAAAGGAAACATTAGCAAGAAGCACTGAGAATATTTTTGTTGAGAAAAACTTTTAGCTTATTATAAAAGGCTTATTCTTCATATCTAGATTAACACTGGTAAGAAACAAGGGCAGAGGTTGGAATAAAACCTAAAGTTCTCATGTCCTGTTACTACTGATTCAGTAATCTCTATTGCCTCCCTGTTTTGAAAAAAACTTACTGAACTTCACTGAACGCGGTTGATGTGGAGGGCATGCTTCAACAGTATATGCTTTTTGACTACATCAACCTCAGGTTAGAAATATCTGTATCATACATTCCAAAGGGCATTAGTATAAAAAGCTGCTGAGTCAATCAGTCTTGTCAAAGTGAGTACATTTCTAGCCAAGTTCAGCTCTGAAATTTTAAATACAAAATAAAATTTAAATAAAAATTTTATATATAAACCCCAAACTAAAACAAGTTATCTATGGAGTTGAAGTTCTAGGTCCAGATACTTGCTCAGTAGGGCTTTCAAGATTGCAATTTTGTATTTAAAGGACCAAATTCTGGTTTAATTCCCCTACAGATCCTTTTAGAGCTCTCAACTCCAAATGTTTTATTCCTTTTCATTCATTTTGAAGTTATTTTTGTGAAGTGCACAATCACAAGAAAACAACCTGATCTGGTCCTCTTCTCCCTTCCATAGGAGAGAGATGTTTCACCCCTCTCTAACAGGTAAAATTGAAAATATTTAAGAGATATTTTATCTAATTAGAGTTAATACTTTACAATATGTTGCTCATTCTCAGCTTTTTCCACTACTAAAATGCAAGAAGCAAGACTTGTGATCCTAAAAACTTGCATTTCTGTAACATTTTTTCAGGATATTGGGAAACTGTTATATGACAACTTAGATAAACTCATAGTTACCACTTAATATTTAAAAAAAAAAAATCTTACAAAGATTCTTTACTATCAAATTAGACAGCTAATACTACTTGTTTCAACATCATTAGCAGAAAATTCTTGGATCAAAATACAACTGATGAATCACATTTGGCCTGCCATAACACTTCGTGAGTACTGAACAAGTCATAAGCTTCGTGGCAGCTTACTTTCTAACACTTTCCCAAAGCTCTGCTCCATTTTCCCCCAGCACTTGCCTGGCATGTAATGCTAAGACACCTGTTTTTTAGTGATACAAAATATTCATTTCCTATTTTTCTTCCAAGTAGCAGAGTTTGGCTACATAGCCTTTGAATGCCTCTGTAAGGGCCTTGGGGATAACCACATCTGAAACATTAGATATCAGCAATCTGAAAGGTGCTTTAATTATTCAGGAAACGGAATTCAAAAAAGCTGTTATACTTGATGATGTTTCTTATCTCTCATGAAAAACACCATTCTCACTATGACTTTGCTACGAGGTTTTTCATGCCCTGCCATGACAAAATATGTAGTAAAAAATAAGAAATACAATAAAATGTTGGGACACCAAGGGCAAAGTAGATACATTTTCTTTGCAAGTAGTATAGTGTCACTTACATACAAATATAAAACAATATTAAACTCTACGCATTAATTCCATGAAGTGACTCAGACATCTGCTTGGACTATAGGCACCCTTCTCCAATATCAGAATAGAAATTATAGAATCATTTAGGTTGGAAAAGACTCATAAGATCATCGAGTACAACCATTAACCTAACACTACCAAGTCCACCACTAAACCATTTCCCTACGAACCATATCTACACATCTTCTAAATGCCTCCAGGGATGGTGACTCAATCACTTCCCTGGGCAGGCTGTTCCAATGCTTGAAAACCCTTTTGGTGAATAAGTTTTTCTTAATGTCGAATCTAAACCTCTCCTGGTGCATTTTGAGGCCACTTCCTCTTGTCCTATCGCTTATTACTTGGGAGAAAAGATCGACACTCACCATGCCACAACATCCTTTCAGGTAGTTCTAGAGAGTGATAAGGTCTCCCCTCAGCCTCCTTTTCTCCAGACTGTTCTCCAAACAACCCCAGTTCCCTCAGCCACTCCTTGTAAGACTTGTGCTCTAGACCCTTCATCAGCTTCATTGCTCTTCTCTGGACATGCTCCAGCACCTCAATGTCTTTCTTGTAATGAGGGGCCCAAAACTGCACCCAGTACTTGAGGGGCAGCCTCACCAGTGCCGAGTATTGGGGACAATCACTCCCCTACTCCTGCTGGCCACACTGTTTCTGATACAAGCCAGGATACTGTTTGGCCTTCTTGGCCACCTGGGCACTGCTGCCTCATGTTCAGCCAGCTGTCAACCAACACTCCCAGACCCTTTTCCACCGGGCAGCTTTCCAGCCACTCTATCCCATCCATCCAGCCTGTCCCAGTCCCTCTGTAGAGTCATTCTACCCTCAAGCAGATCAACACTCCCACCCAACTTGGTGTTGTTTGCAAACTTACTGAGGCAGCACTCAAACTCCTCATCCAGATCATCAATAAAGATACTAAACAGACCTGGCCTCAATATTGAGCCCTGGGGAACATCACTTGAGACTGGCCACCAACTGAATTGAACTACATTCACCACCACTCTTTGGGCCTGGCCAGCCAGTCAGTTTCTTTACCCAGTGAAGAGTATGCCCGTCCAAGCCATAAGAAGCCAGTTTCTCCAGGGAATGCTGTGGGAGACAGTGTCAAAGGCTTTACTGAAGTCCAGGTGAACAATATTCACAGCCTTTCCCTCGTCCGCTAAGTGGGTCACCTTGTCATAGAAGGACATCTGGTCAGTCAAGTAGGACCTGCCTCTCATAAACCCATGTTGACTGGGTCTGATCACCTGGTTGTCCTGTAGGTGACGTGTGATGGCACTCAAGATGATCTGCTCCATGACCTTCCCTTCCTCAGAGGTCAGGCTGACAGGCCTGTAGTCACTCTGTCAACCAGTCTCCTAAACAGGCCAAAGTCTTGAATTCCCTCTGTTCACAAACAACAGGTCCAGCAGGGCATCTTCCCCAGTTGGCTCACTCATTGACTGTGTCAGGAAGTTATCTTTCACAGACTCCAGGAACCTCCTAGACTGTTTCCACTGTATTGTATTTCCAGCAGATATCTGGTAAGTTGAAGGCCCACAGGAAAACAAGGGCTAGTGATTGTGAGACTTCTCCCAGCTGCTTATAGAATATTTGTCTGCTTCTTCTTCATCTTGGTTGGGTTGACTCCGATCATGGTATCTACAATTGTTGGCCCTTCTCCTGATTCTTACCCATAAACACTCAAACCTATCATCACCATCATCAAGCTCTAGACTGTCAAAACACTCCCTAACAAACAGTGCTACCCCACTGCTTCTCCTTCCTTTACTATTCCTTCTGAAGAGTTTATAGGCATCCATTGCAGCAGTACAGTTGTGCAAGTCATCCCACCATGTTTCCATGATAACTATATCATAGTAGCATTGCAATTGTGATAGCTACCTTGCAACTGATACAATCTCTGTAAATAGATTTATCCTCATCTAAGTTTAGTAAGTATGTGCAAAACATCAAGATTCTTACTCCACTGAGCTTATGAGAATGTAATTCACATCTGACAGTCAGAAATCTAAAAGCAGGTGTTACCCAATTATTTGGCCTCTAGAATTATATCTGGAATTGACACCTCTGAGCATGTAAATGAAAGACAAGTACCTGAAACCATATGTCCCACAAAACAGCTGGCAAAGGATGAGAGTTACTCTCTTAGATGGTATCCCTCTTAGTTCTCCTTGGCATTCTGCCTTATCTTATTAGACTGCAAGTAAATAAAATCGCTGAAATATGATAGGTGAGAGACGTGGTAGATAACAGAAGAGCCTACCTTCACAAACTGGAACTTTCCCAGACCATGTGCCATCAGACCTACAGGCTCTATGCTCTGATCCTCCCGCCAGGAAGAAGCCTGGCTGACAAGTATAAATCAATGTATAACCAAGTGAGGGAAGGTCCATTCCTGCAACATTAGCATGAGTTGGTGTTTCTGGTTGTTTACAGCTGTGAGCTACAGAGAAAAGACAAAATATCCTTCAGTCAAAATGGTGAAAATATTTCTGAAAAAATAATCTATACCTATTCTGACAGATAACTAACAAAGAAAAAAGCATCAATAAAAACAACATATTATTATATTTTTAATTCACATTAAAAATTACTACATAGTCTATAAATTACTGTCCTGTGTCTGTAAATATACTCTTGGAAATGGACCTTTTTAATTTCAAGGGACCAAGAACCAACTTAAACGCACCTGCTCAACCAAAATTAATTGTATCCATGTGCAATCGTAAACAAGACACATCTTACAATAGTTATAAGGAATCATAGCTTGTGACTTATATGACTTATGATATCTGTGTAGCATTAAATAACAGCAAATAAATGGGTCATTTGGAAAACACTATGAAAGGTCAAGGAGAAATTGTAGGTGAGGCAAGTTTTAAACATGAGACAGAAAAATTAATTACCATTCTTAATTACAGGCAAAGTGTGTTATATCTTTAACAACACCAGAATCTGAGAGTCTTGTGTTATCTCAAAAACAGCATACCTCTAAGAGCAGTGCTCATGTGAGCTACTGATTTGCTGTTTGCTTAGGGGGAATGCTAGTGCCAGATGAAACACTAATGCCATTCTCTTATGTGGATATGCTCTCCATACACTGAAGTTATTCCATAAGGTCAGACTTTATAAGTGAGACTATTACCAGAAAAATACAGCTGACTAGTTGAAAAAATAGAAAGATTAACCATGTTGTTATACTGTTATACAGTTATAAATTATAACTATTTACTGAAGTGTAAAAGATATAAGTAACAGAATGATATTTCCTGTACCCAGGTAAGAAGATTCTCTCCTTTCCAAATTCAAAAATTTCCAATGACAAACATTTTTTTCCCCCTTCTTAAAATACCCTGAGGTATTTTAGAATATAGCTGGGAAACAAACAGCTCAAACTCTTTACTAGAGCTGATTGTAACTATTTGCTCCAGTACAAGTTTGGGTTGTGCAGGGCTTTCCTATATTTCCTGTTCTCGACGCTTCCTCTATTCATTGGAAGGGTTACATCCTTTTAGATAAAAACTTAGTGTTTTCAGCATCTTTCTGGATCAATAGATGTCTGTTATTATTTTGTCTTGGTTTTGTTTTGGTTTTTTGGTTCTTGTTTTTTTTTTTTAATTCTATAGGTTGTTGTAGAAAAATTCACTCATAAAATCACATTTCTAGCTGCTGTAAGCTAGTAATGCAAATTTGTATTAGGTTAATAAAACTAAATAAATTAATTTAGCTTTATAAAAATGTTCTGTAACTAAAAAGCCTAGGTAAAATTTGATAGATCAAAATCTATAATTTACTTACGTATACATTCTGGTTGGATTCCACTCCATGTAAGATCAGGAAGGCAAGTTCTTGTTGTTGAACCATGGAGAAGGTGTCCCTTTTTACACTGAAATTGAACAACATTTCCCACCTTGAAAAGTAGAAAACACAATAATATTGTTATGAGGAAATAATCAGCTGGGGTTTTTTTTTTCCAAATTAGATAGCATACTCCTTCACATAACACAGACTTGATAAATTGTGATGCTTTTTCTGTAGAAAGTAAATTAATTTCACAGAGCATTTTGATATGAAATAAAAAAAATTGGTTCGTTCTTGTTAAAATTATTTTTCCCTCAAACTGAAATCCTCCATGGAAGAGAATTGAAACCTCATCTTCTGTGGTCTCTCTGGTATGATGCTTTGGGCCTGGAACAGTTGAGGCACTGTGAGTTTGGAAACCACGCTTACTGTGGCTTCCTAGCTCTGGACCAAGGAGAAGTCAGTTCGGCAATCTTTCAGCAAACCAGAGAAGCTGCAGAGCTGAACAGGTAGTAGATTCTGCTGCACCCTTGCTGAACTAGACCCCTCTTTGTGGAATGCTGGATGAATTCAGAAATTATAATGAGAAATATTTCATTAGAACATGCAAGGCCTGGTCAAGAGCACTGTCTTATGCTTCAGAAATTAAAATGTTCCTATATTATTTTAATTTTGTTTTTTGGTGACAAGAGGTAAAAACGAATCATTCTTTATACAATGCGGATAATAGAAACTGGAACACAAGTACATTACAATTTACAATAGCAATTCATTGAGATTAGTTTTTAACTATTATTCTTATTATGGGTATGTATTGCATAAAAAGGAAAACAGAATTCTTTAGTCAATAATAGTTTCTGCACAAACGTAACATAGAATAACTTGTTCAGCATGTCCAGTCATGGAGACATTGATGAAAGTGCAAATAATTCTCCATTTCCATCAAAAGTGGGGAAATTAAATTACAAGTATATCATTCAGAGAGTAGTTTATTACATGCTGTGAGTGGTTAACTCAAATATTAAGGTGCAAAGATCACGTCTACTGTTCTGCAGTGACCTGTATTAATATAGTTATGAACTTATGTTTAAAAGAAGAAGTTGAAAACTTTGAACTGTACGTGACAGCGTATTTATGGTTCTTTTTTGTTGGGTTGGTTTGGTTTTTTTTAGTTTCATAATTTTGTTTAAATGTAGAACACTTGATTGAAATTGATGTTCAAAGGTAAAATGTGGACTCTTTCACAATAATTCAGTCCTGGAAACAGCATTTCATTGCTACACATATTCATTTGAAACTTTATAGTACTATTCCATTTCAACTCAAGCTTCTCATTAGAATGAAATTTAATAATAATACATGAACTACAGATAGCAGCTCATCAACACCATATGTGATTTAAAACTCATCTCCCCTTTTTTTTTGCTCTTTATTGTGCTCACTGGACTATGTAATTACTTTTAAAAGATTTTGAAGAAAATATACTAAATCACTTTCACGATTAAGCATAAAGTGGGAAAACACTAAAAGTTTTAGAAATTATAGAAATAGAAGTACTTTTTTGTGTGATAAAGAACTTAGTTAAAACTACCACAATCAATATATTACAAGTATTAGTCATACAAAAGATTTGTTCATCTCTGTAATCTGCCTCTATCGAAGTCATCTCCATTCACAACTATGGAAAGAACATCTGCCCTATTTAATCTTTAGCTACCAGGAAGAAAATGTTCCACATTGTCTTCAAAACCAGGACCCTTTCACCATTCTTCACAGGAAAAAAAAAAATCCAACCAAAACCAAACCTCAGTTAACTGTTAAATGTAGTTTTTTAATATGCATCTGAATAGGAAACTAATTTTATTTTCACTTCATTCTTTCAAAGTTGACTGTATGATCTTTCTGAAAAAAAGTATTTTAGAAATAATACAATTGTTTTGTAAGGTGGAGTAGCTGGACATCATGGAAGTCAATGAGGTAATGAGGTTAATTGGCTACTTATGCTCAGATATCTAATTCTAAACTGTAACTAAGTAAAATTCAGTATATTGTAATTCTACTCATTAAGAATGTCCTGAACGGAAAGGCCATACTTTGTGAGCTGAAAGGGCTGGAGAATCATGTTCATGAAGTCTTTAGACCTACAGGACTCAATGGATAACAATGAAAAAAGTGAAGCAGGTGTGTTTTTTCAATTTTCTGTAACTTCTCTCTCTTCTTTAGCTGCGTATTCATTAGTTCGGGTCAGTTTTCTATGAACTGAGTCTTCTGCTAGACAGATAGATTGAAGGAAAATTGTTCACCTGAAGAGCAGGAAATGCATAGAAATTTTTTCCACTGGCATGATCTTCACTGCAGCTCTGCCTACCTTATGGCTTCACTGAAGCATGTCTGCCTAAACATCTAACAAGTTCTTCAGTATTAGAAATGTATCAGTGAGATAAGGAGCAGGCTCAAGTCACCAAGTGAGTAGAAAGGTTGAGCTGCTAACATTCCACAACTTAAGAATAAATAAATAAATAAATAAATCCCACAGCAAACAGAAAAATCTCAAACCAAACCATTGTAGATATTGCAATGAGTTGTTGCAATGCCAACTTATCCTATCTAAAACAACAACTAGTACTGAAATGGCTTTCCTTATTTCCTAAAAAAAAAAATAAAAAAAAAAAATGTTGCCTGTATTATCATTGCTAGGGAAACACAACCTTTATACATATAAGCCCCAAAAGTAGCATAAAAAACACAACAGTGTTCCAAGTGATGAAGATGTTTTTAGAAGTGCTGCCATGCTGCTCAAGGTAATGAATACAGGAATGAGGCTCCCCGCTCCTAAAAAACCAACCAACCAACCAAAAACCACCTGACAAGCAATAAGTAATTGTTAAAAACAAGAAAACGAAAAGTGATTTAGAAGCGACTGGCGGGAGGTGTGCTGTGCGGTGCTGCCAGGCCAGGGGCAGC